CCCCCCCCCACAACCGCGCCCCACCGGCTCCGGGGCTGACCGGCGGCGGCGGCAGCACCGCCCCAACCGACAGGGGGCGCCACCGCGCGATCCCTCCGCCGGGGGAGGCGGCCCCGCGAGCAGCCGGAGGGGGCGGGGCGGAACCGCCTCTGCCCTCCCGCCGCCCCGCCCTCGCCGCCGGAGGAGGTGCCGCCCTCGCGCTGGCCGCAGCGCCAGTAGCCAATGAGGAGCGAGCCCCGTCCCCGGTGGGCGGGGCCGCTGTGCCGCGCGCGTCCCTGAGGCGAGTCGCGGGCTGGTCCCGGTCCGTGAGGAGAGTGCGGGGGATCGGGGCCTGTTCCTTTACACGGAGCCTGGCGCCGGGGCCGTCACCCCGCTGAGGGTGACGGGCGAGCTCTGGGCAGAGCCGCCCCGCAGCCTGCGTTCGCGCCCCGGTTGGAGGAGACCCTCGCTGGGACATCGGCCGCTGCCGGGTGACGGCCCAGCCCGGTGGGCAGCGGGTGTCCGGAGCGCCGGGATGCAGGTGAGGCAAAGGCCGGAGGGCCCGTGGGACCGGGAGGTGGCCGGGAGGGGAGGGAACGGGGGGGGAAGCGTCGAGGGGCCCCCCCAGCGTGAACCGGGGGGTGTGGGAGCGCTGGGAAGGGCACAGAGACGGGGTCTCGCCAGTAGCCGCTTATTTCAGGTTATTTTTATTAGAAAGTTGTTTTAGATTCACGACAGAAAAGGTGATAAAACGCCACTTGAGAACACATTAGACTAAAGGGAAGTAAAAGGTGATTTCAGCAACAAAGTTGGGGTTTTTTTTCTCCTGCCATAGAGGTAATTCTGCTACAGACTGCAGCGTAAACCAATATGCCATTTCTGTCCAAAATCAGAATTCGTGCTGTAGAAACAAATATGTTACATTGGAAGTGGTTCGTGTTTTGGGGAACCTAGTGGCTGGAGCACCATTAGAGAGGAAGAAGTAAGATTGAAGAGCTTTATTTATGTTCATTTTCCGTGACCAGCATCCCATGCTATTAATTAGTAGCCTCCAAAGGCTGTAAAATACAGCATTTGAAGGCTTAAGATAACTCAATTTCTTGTTCAATGCATACAAAATATATATATATTTATGAAAGAGGAGACATTGCCATTTTCCAGTATTTAAAGGGTGACTACAAAGAAGATGGAGACTGCTTTTTTACAAGGAGTCAGATGGAAAAGACGAGGGGTTATGGATACAAGTGACTCCAGGGGAGATTTTGACTGGACAGAAGAGGGAGATTTTTCACAATGAGAACAATCGGCCACTGGAATAATCTCCCCAGGGAAGTGGTAGATTCCCCAACATTGGGACACTTCTAAGATGCAGCTGGGCAGGGTCAGGGTGCTGGGCTCTCTTTTCTAGACTGTGCTTTCGCCAAGAAAGGTTGGACCAGATCATCCTTGAGAATACCTTCCAACCTGGTATTCTGTGATTCTCTGAAATATATTTTGCTATAAAACTATCTATCACTTTAAGTGTGAAGAAAAGTGAAATATGAATCTTCATCGTAGGGCTATTACAGGGCTGTGCTTCATCAGCTTCTGGGCAATCTCTGCAAGGTATCAAAACTGGGTGAGGTTTTCCTGTAACAAATGAAGCTCCCACTGAAGTCAGTTACTTAGAAAAAATTAGATAAGGGAAATGTGAATAACGATGTTTAGAGATCTCATAAGGACATATTTACGTCTTTATCCTTTAGAACAAACACGAGGGATTTGATCTTTTGTCTCTTGCTCCTTAAACAGGTACAAGGGACAGGACTAAATGGGTACTCCTGCTGATTTACTATGAGGTACAAGGGACAGGACTAAATGGGTACTCCCGCTGATTTACACAGCAGTTACTATGTATCTGGTGCATACAAGCATTGGAGTCTGTTAATTAAATCCTGGCGTGCAACTGTGAAGTGTGAACTGTATTTGAGGAAGTTTAGATACTGGGTTGCATTTAGTTACTGTTGAAAAGCTTTCTTATTGAAGGCATATGGTGTAGTTGCTTGGAAATTATTTTGTACTGCTGACAAAGATCAAAGATTTTGCACTTTCAGGAGCTGAAATGAAAGAGCAGCAGCAAAATAAACTGTGGGTGCTATATATCCAGTTTTGATAGTCGTAATCCTGCCTGTGACATTTGAGCATTTAAAAAGGGCTGCTCAAGCAAGTCAGTGGAAATCTGAGTTGTTAACTAGCTGTGATCTAAAAGCAACAGGAAAGAATTCTTACAGTTTTGACAGGGAAAGAACAGCTGCATTTTCTGTCCCTTACTGAGTTACAAAAGAGTTTTTGTTATTAAGATGCATAGAAAACTGCAAATATATTATGCACCTCACAACAGCAGGAAACAGCAAAAAAGGCTGTATCTCTGGATTCTATTAAAGGCACTAGTAGATGCATAACATGTTGATTTCCAGCTTAAATTACACCAATAACTTAGAATAATACCAGTTACTGGTTTAGTTCTCTGTTTCTGATATGCACTGCAGGTATCCCCTATACCTAAATAGCAGTAAACCCTAGGGTATAAGCAGTAATTATGCTCAGAAAAACAAATGCACTCTTCAGAAGATTAAAAAAGAAAACAAACACAAACTCAAAACACTTCAGCAGAAAGTCACGTTGTTCAAGTCTGAATTTATAGAAGGTTTCTTTGTACCACTCTTCACTGTTTTCATAAGGCACTTGGCTGCTGTTGTACTTCTGGGGCAGTGGGGTACTAACAGAAATTTCTGCAAGCTGCCTTTTTATTCAGTCCATCCCAAAAGCAGGAGTGGGCATCTTCTGACTTACTAAAGAAGCAGTAAACAAATAAAGTAGTAAACTCTGGTCCTCCAATCACTACATTCTGGTGCTACAAATTTGAGGAATTAAAACCAATTATATGTAGATATGTTTAAAATAAATAAAATACTGTCATTACAAAGGGGTGTAACAGAAGGAAATAGCTTTATTTGAACTAAATTTCTATCCCTATAGGGCAATCTTGGAACCTGAACCACTGGCTTCCCTACTGTGCTATTTTTATTGGTTTTCCTGGAAGGCTGTCTTGCTCTCAGTGCCAAAAAGGACACTACACACAGGTTTCTTCTTTCTGTCAAGTGTCACCTTCTGAGAAAACACCCCAATTGTATACTGTGCATATACTGTGTATATTTAGAGCAGAACCAGTTGCAGGGAGAGTCTTAGGTGTACCTGGAATCCAGGAAATTGCTTTGGCTGTGTCAGTTGTTTGCTGTGAGAAACTTTGGTGGTTTCAGCTCAAGACTCTCAGTGATTTGCTGCCAGTGTCATTCTCCCTGTTGAGCCTTTCTTAGACAGCAGATGGGGACCTATTTCCTGGTCTGATGTTTGCAGAATGAGGTCCCAGGCCCTACTTTGACACGGCACCTGTAGCTAATTGGCTGTGAACAGAGTGAGAGAAGCCCAACTCTGCTTTGGTGTAGGAGATAAGGTCTCTCTGGAGCTGCTCCGTTGGCAGCACCTGCTGCAGACCCAGCCTTGAGTGCACAGCCCTCAGTGTCACAGCCTGTGGTTGAACAATTTGAACAGAGACATCTATGTAAAAAAAAGCCAGCCAGATGTGTCAATTAAATCGGATACATGAAACAGCAACACCATTTCCAATCCTGAAGGAACAGAAAAGTGATGGGAGTTGGTGTTTCTTTGGGAAATGAGAGATAAATCTCGTGAGAGATGTATATTCCACGCAAACACGTGCACTAGAATGCACTCATTTCCTGAAATCCCATTCTGTTTCAGTGGAATAAAGACCCCATCACTGGTAAATGCCAAGTCCCATTAGACAGCGTGGATTATTTCAATGAGCTGAACTTTTCCCCATCACGTATGGAACAACTGCATCCAAAATCCAAACTAATGATCATCAGAGAAACGGAGCTGCTACGTGGATATTGCTAGCAAAAAGCTGTTCTCTGAAATGATGAATTATCTCAAGTAAGCCAAAAATTAAGAGATTCTGAGCCTTTGTTGTAATTTATTTTCCCCTTCTGGGGACAAGCTTTCTCCCTTCTAGGCTGTTTTAAAAAGAACATTCTCGTATGAATAAATATGACAAATATAAAAATAAAAATATAGAAACAAACTATGTAAACGCAAGCCCTGAGGTATTTCAAGCACACAGTGTAATTTTTATACCTGACATGCAATCTAAAGATGCCAGTAAGAAAATTTACTTTATGGCTCTCTAAAAACGTCCCATCTTTCTTTCCTGCCTCAACACCCGCAAGAAAGGGTGAGAGGTTGAGGTAGGAGCCCCGTAGAAGCTGTGATAGTCACAGAAGCAGAAACAGAGGATATTAAAGTGCTGCGTGTCTTTCCCTGACCGTCTTCACTCTTTGGTTGGCTTTTACAGGCCAGTTGGATTTTACAGAGTATCTGACAAAGCTGCTGCTTTTCTGGATATAGGCTCCACTCCTGTGCCAGCATATATACCATAGAGAGTCTTGCAGGATGAAGGGACTTCTGAAGAAAGATTTTAGCAGTCCCTTTAACTCCTAGGCTTGTGTGTGTGTGTGTGTCTCAGGCTAGCTTGGGAAGCTGAAGCACACTTGGCCCTGCAATTGCTCCCAAATGACTGCGGTCTTCCCACCTCTTTCCCCCTCTTCCTTTAGCCTTGATCTGCTTGGACATGTTTCCTCCCCCAGAGCTTTCTGCATTTTCATGAAGGGTCCAGTCCTTAAAAAAAAAAATATATCCATTCTCTGCATGACAGTGACGTCAGTGGGTCTACTCATATGAATTAAAGTTTGCTGGAGCAGGCCCTGAGGCATTAAGTCCAATTTTATTAAATTCTACTGTGTTTGGGCTTTGAAAAGAAGAGTTACAAAATTAATCATAGGTCTTACTTCTTAAAATGGCATTTGTTCCTCTGCTAATTCTTTGTAAACAGGGGCTCAATGTGAAAGGATCTCAGGGGTTGTATTCCTATGGGTGTGTGTACATTCTTGCACAGTGAAGACTCTGGAATAATATGTGTGCAAACATGCACACACAACACATTCCATCTGCACATACTTACCCTGCATATACAGGTACCTGCTCACATGCATGTGCTTACACAATGTCTACAGATGTGTAAACTCATAGTTGCACATATACAAACTAAAAATCCAATTAGTCTTAGATGCACCTTTGCTTTTTTTCGTTAAAAAGGACATTTTAAAACCCTTGTTTTGTTCACTTTGGTTTTACTGTAACTAATACAATTCACCTGCTCATCTAATGGGATATTTTCCTCTCAGTATGTTAAAACACTAATTAAAATGCATTACAATTATTAAATTGGGTAGAAGAGGACTTCTTGTGAAGCTTAGTCTGGAACTCCTGGGACAGAGTTGTGCAGTGAGAGTTTTAGATCATGTCTCTTGTGTTACGGATCGCACAGCACAGAACCATGCTGAATATCATGCCAAAGATCTAGAAGAGAAGGGATGCAATTTAGGGATCCACTTACAAAACAGTTATAAAATAGTCTGCATATCAGAACAATTTGAAGGTTCTTATGGCAGAGTAGCAAGTGACTCCTTCCATCCACAAACCCTAAGACATCAGACAGCTAATATAAAAGAGATTTCACTGATACTCAAAGCCAAGGTTTTATCTGTTTACACTAATTTCACTGTTCTTTGTTTTAAATGTTAAGGCGAGCGTGGTAGCCCCAAACATTAATATCATTAACATAAATTTCACTGACATTGATAATTGTGACTGTATTATGTATTGCACCAGACGTGGTAGCCCCAAACATTAATATCATTAACGTAAATTTCACTGACATTGATAATTGTGACCGTATTATGCCTAGTATTACACCAGCAGGTTCTGAGTTTCAGAATGCTTCTATGTGGAATATTTTATAGACATTTGAATAAGAGCAGAGCACGATCCCAGAGGAACTGGTGCTGAGCACTGTGGCTTTGCAGAGAAAGCTAAGCTCTACTCAAGACCAAGACTATGTGTTAAATATAAAACTCTATTCATGTTAGGGAATTGGTTAACTAGAGGGAATGTTAGAAGCAGAGAACAGTGGGGACTGCCAGAGTCTTCAGAAATTTCTTTTTTTTGCCACAGGTTGACTCTCCAAAGTAGTTAGTGGCTACCTCCTGATGCTTCACCACTAATGATGGGAGAGAAGCAATACTATCAGGCAGTTAAACCCCTGAGTTCATATCCTCTCCCCACACACCTCCCTAAGGAAGGAGATGGGTGACCAGTCATACCCCTGAAGGGTCAGAAACAAGCACAGAAACATCTACAGACATGTTTCTGCTGCTTAAGAGGTTATAATTTCATAACTTCCGCTGTATCTGAGGTGGGAAGCCATATAAGAGATGTTTGTATGTCTAGCGTATCTTTATTGAGCAGAGAGGTTATTGGAATTCTGTCACACCCATGTTCCTTTGCTGTATTTTTGAGTACACTTTCACGTTTTATACAAATCATAGGATTGTTTAGTCCCTTTTCCCCACACCATGGTTTCTATTACATACATAAACCCTTCATCTGCTTTTAAGTGTCCACCTAAGTCCATGAACTTCCTGCTCTTCAGAGCAGTGTGTTTCTTTACTAATATTCTGGCTCCTCATACTTTTTCAGAAGTATGCTGCGGGTTTCTGAATCTGAAGAGAGTCAGCACACACGTGATGGAAAGTGCTTTCTGTGAAAGCCTGTGTTTGACACAGATTTCCCACTCCTGCCACATCCTTGCAGCAGGGTGACATCTATTGGTGACAGCTCTGCTGGGAAGGAGCAGACCTTGGGAATACAGCAATGCACACTTGAGGGAGGTGGACTGTAAGAAAAGTTACCTGTGCTTTGATGACACCATTCAATGAAACAGCTACCTGTAACTAGGTGTTATGTGTTTAGGAAAGAAATACTGTCCTGAAAACTATGCAGTTTAAATCCTGTTCCTTTAACAAAATACATACTGATCACTGGATCTGTGATCAGTAGACTAGAAAATCTGTTTATCCTTCACATTGAAACAATGCTACAAACAAAATACATACTGATCACTGGATCTGTGACCTAGAAAAACTGTTTATCCTTCACATTGAACCAATGCTACAGCCAGAATTTTCCTGGAAAGCCATTTCTATACAAAGGGTAGGTACTCTCTATTCCTTATGAAATCTAAGGAATGGGTCCTCAAAGAGCCTAAAGCATCAGTCTGCAGCTCTCTTGGAATAGATGAAATGCTGCTACAGCCTTTTGCCTTTCAGATTGGTTCACCTGAACTCCACTTTCCTATTATTACAACAAAATAAGATTACCGTTGGATACTTTGGACACTAAGGACACAAAATAAACTGGTAAAACAAAGTCACACAAGTCTGCTTGCACCAACGTGGGCGATTCCCAGAGAGAAGACACACTGAAAGTGGTAAGAATAGCTGTACCTCTGAGGAATGTCACCAGTTGCTGCAAAACACCTTCCACAAAGCTTTGACTAAGGGGCAGGGTACTGGGCTCAAATATAGATTTAAGAGAAAGAATGCGGATTTACTCACTGTGGTGCCAGCAATTGCAATTCCAACAATTCCAACTAAATGCAGATTAGCATCAATTATGTTCTGGATTTCAACCAGGCAGTTCTATTTAAAACAAAATGGAAAGATTTTAGATTAGCATCAATTATGTTCTGGATTTCAACCAGGCAGTTCTATTTAAAACAAAACGGAAAGATTTTTACTCCTAAAAAAATATACTCCAACCAACTCTGCCAGATGTTCTCACTAAGCAACACAGAAACATGAAAAATATATTGCAGTCACTGTCCTAATTCTTGCGTCTATGCCTTGTCTTTTGTTGGACAATTCTCACAGCATATTCCCTTTTCTATGAGACATCCGTACATCTTGCCTGTCCACGCTGACACACACAAGTCATTTGCTTACAATCAGTTTTCCGTAAATTTAAAATGATCAGCCTTTATATGATAGGCCTTGCTAAATTAGGAAGTTTGGCCCTTTATTGTTGACTTTGTACTCACAAGCAGATTCCACAAACGACAGAAAGAACAGTATCTCTCTTAACACCAATGAAGTTTCTAGCCAGGAGTCCCCATGCGTGATTAAGGCAGGCACTTGCCAAAAATTCAACCTTCGTGGGGCTTTTCATTTAGGACTCCTGTTCTGCTAAATCCTTCCCACTTTTCTTTTCAGAAGATGCAATATTGTCTCACATGGAATGCTACAAGTGGCTTCAGAAATGAGGGCTGCGCCTATTCAGTACGATCTCCAACTTAGTTCTGCCTCCACTCTGCTCTATTTCATATGGATTTTCATGCCGGAATTTGCAAGGTAAAAAGGAAGTTCTTCCTTTCTTCTAGAATGTCTCCAATATTACTAAACAATTGCCATGAAAAAGTGATTAAAATAAGCAGAACAGAGGACACTTGCCTTCTTGGTATTCTCTGGACAGGGTAATCCAATTTGTTGTTCCATATTACCTTTACCGCAGCATTGGAGCTAAATGAGAGAGAGAGAGATGGAGAATCAAAGAAGAGGAAACCATAGACTTCCTTCATACTGCAAGTGAGATAATGAATAACCACAAAAAGAAACAATACAGATCAAGTCATAAATTTATTCCCTGTATTAACTGCTACCTCTGGTAGAGTTCCAACTGCATGGGCCAGAATTGTCAAAAATCAGTTTCAACTCTCTGAAGCCATAGAAAACACGTAAATTTGTATTAACAACAACAACCAGAGGTGATTTCTATCACAATATCTCAAAACAAAGCAAACAAGTGGATTTTGGAAAAGCAGATCTGTGGCTTATGAGGAAACAGGAGTTGTTAGAGGGAGAAAGCAGTTAAGTTCAAAGAGCGCATACAGAATTACGGGCAACATGCAAAAGCTACACCAGAGAATGCTAGACTCTTTATTTCTGACAAAACAGTGCTGGGTTTGGAGACAGTAATAAATCAGAGTGTTTCAGAGGGTTTTTCAAAGAGCGCATACAGAATTACGGGCAACATGCAAAAGCTACACCAGAGAATGCTAGACTCTTTATTTCTGACAAAACAGTGCTGGGTTTGGAGACAGTAATAAATCAGAGCGTTTCAGAGCGTTTTTCCTGTTTGCTTAGCTCCCACAAAATGCTTGGAATTCCTTTTGGGGTCAGAAATAACAGCTATGGGAGAAGGACAAAAGGGTCTGAGGTTGTGAAATGTTTCTTCTAAAGAACGTGGGAATACTGTAAGGAGCAACAAAGCTTGGGCTTGATCTCTGTGGGAGGGAGTGTAGATACAGGATGGACACAAATAGGACTCAAGAAGTCACAGGTTCTGATTCTGATTCACACACTAACTTTCTGGGTGGCCTGAACTGAGTCACACATGTGCTTTTGGTTCTTTACCTACATGCTTTAGACAGTGACAGGATCTGCCATATTTTAAATCCTGGGACATGGGTCACATTTTTTTCTCTGACAAATGCAGAGAGATTCAGACCTTTCCACCTCTCATTGCATTTGTGAGTATTTATTCTTGGATTTTAATATCCCCCTAATCATCTTATCTTCTGCTCAACAAAGACCAGAAGCATCAGCTGAAATTTAAAAGCCTGGCTGTTTTCACTTTCAAAGGTAGGGATCACTTGGGATCTGAAAACCAGACCCATCAGGAAACCAGGTTGTGAACCTCTGGCTCCATTTTAAGTAACAGTTCTATTCTTTCATAGCTCAGTGGGAAGCATTCTCAATTTTAAAGGGTAACGTGACAGTAGAGTGGTAGTGCAAGGAATTAAAGCTCAGGAGGACTACTCACAGCTGAGTGGTAGTGATAGATAGTGCTGTTGACCTTCCCCACTGGGTTTTTCATATAGTCATCATAAACGTCTTCGTAGATTTTCTGGGCTTCCTGTATTGCCTGCAGAAATCAGACTTCCAAGTGAGTGACAAGTAAGTCTTACCCCAGATCCAGTGCAGGCTTCTAGCTTGTGTCATCAACCTCCAGAGCAGAAAATTACGCCTTGTAAACTGAGGTACTGTGATTGGAAAGACAGGAGGTTTTGTGGCCTGATGGCATTCAGAGGAACAATTCATGGATCAAAACATATTGAATTTGTTTGCCCTTTTCCCAAGCAATACCCTCTTATATAGTTCTACTTGATGTTCCTTCTAGATGTAAGGCTGAAACACACCTACAGATTTTCTTTAATAGAGAGGGGCAAAACCTGCTTCCCATTCTGGACTTGTGATAGCACAAGCTGTCATTGACTCCAGATGAGAATGTCAGAGAGTCTTCCTGGAAAAAGTCTCCTGGAGAGTCTTCCTATGCAAGGGGGGGTCAGTTGGCATTGGAATCCATAGCTGCCCTGCCATTATTACATTAGAAGTTGTTGCTACTTACCACTTTCTTGCCTATAAAGGCAAATACTCCAGCAGTGACCTCAGCTGCAAATATCACCAACAAGCAGGCAAAGAACTGCAGAGGAAGAAGAGAATCTTAGATTAATCTACTTTGCCCGATTCTGCTTTATATGGACTGCCAGCCAACCCCTCATCCTTGCCCAGGCCTCAGCAGCCCACACACTAACTGGAAGAAAGCTGGTCCATAACAATGGTGTAAAGTCAGATTTGTTTGTAATATTGAAACAAAGGTGGAAATGGCAAAGATCTGTCTCAGATGGTAGCTTCAGAAAAGACAGAAGGTAATTCCAGGCAATGTATCACATTAAATGAGCAATGGAACTTCTTCATGTATGGAAGCTCTGCAATATCAGGGTGGCTGGAGATGCTGGGTTAGCCAGTAAAAGGACTTGGGACATTTCACATCTTGGACAGCGAAGATCTTTCCACTAATGACACAAAGCATAGGGTTTTGAATTGTTTTCCTGCATAGCCCAGGCCCTTGAAACCTTTTACTTACTGATCCAATTAAGCACTGAGATTCCCGCGCTGCTCCACAGCACCCAAAAAATCCAACTGTGGCCATGAGAACCCCTGTTCCCACCAATACATAGAGTCCTATGAAAAATCAGAATCAGACAAGAATTTAAGAAGGTTTCTTCTCCCAAAATCTGGTACCTATTTTGTCAAACCCACACATTTCTAAGTAACAATGGTCTCTGGCTTTCACAAAGGACACTTGTTACACAGAAAAGTTGCTCTCACCACAAAAGGACACCAATGACTTTATTCAGAATTCTTGGAGATTCTCATGAAGACAAGAATATTCCAGTGTCATTACTTTGCATATTTTTCCTCCAACATACTGATGCAAGTGTCAGAATATGAGAGATCATCAGCTCTTAAAGGCTACTGTTATTAGTGTATTACGATTTGGAGAAGAGCTGTCTGAAAATGGAAAGAGTCACAGAACCAGACAAATCACATCAGATATTAAAAGGTGATTCTGTGTGAATGGAGTAGAGTGTCTAAGCCTTAGAGGCCAAAACCCTTGCATGCATGGCCCACAAACAGCATCTCAGGATGCAGGCTGCCCTCATCTGAAGTGCAGGAATCCCTCCCACCACTTTATTTCAACAGGCAGAATGGGAGTGGCTCTGCAGCAGCTGGTGGCACCACTGCATTGCCTTCATGTGCTGGACACTCACAGTTAAGAGTTAGGCAGTTACTGAATCATTAAGGGCTTGAGGCCACTGGCACAAGGAGTTACACGTGTGAAGGCAAATTGAATGACATAAAGAAAGAACAGCAAATAGTGGATCATCAGGCTAAACACATTAAGAGGATAATGAAACAATCTGGGGACGACACCCGCTAGAGGCAACTACTGAAGAGAAAGATCTAGGGGTCCTGGTGGACAGTAAAATGGCAATGAGTAAACAGTGTGCTCTTGCGGCCAGGAAGGCCAATGGTATCTTGGGTTGTATAGGGAAGAGTGTAGCCAGCAGGTCAAGGGAAGTCATTCTCCCCCTCTACTCTGCACTGGTGAGGCCACAACTGGAGTACTGTGTCCAGTTCTGGGCTCCCCAGTTCAAGAGGGACAGGGAACTACTAGAAAGAGTCCAGCGTAGGGCTACAAAGATGATTCAGGGATTGGAGCATCTCCCTTATGAGGAGAGACTGAGAGAGCTGGGACTCTTTAGTCTGGAGAAGAGAAGGCTGAGGGGAGACCTTATCAATGCCTACAAGTATCTCAAGGGAGGGTTGAAGGAGGAGGGAGCCAGACTCTTTTCAGTGGTTCCCACCGAGAGGACGAGGGGCAACGGGCACAAGTTGGAACAGAAGAGGTTCCACTCAAATATGAGGAAAAACTTCTTCATGGTGAGGGTGCCAGAGCCCTGGAACAGGCTGCCCAGGGAGGGTGTGGAGTCCCCTTCCTTGGAGATCTTCAAAACCCGCCTGGATGCTCCTGAGTAACATGCTCTAGCTCTAGGCAATCCTGCTTCAGCAGGGGAGTTGGACTAGATGATCTCTATGGTCCCTTCCAACTCTAGAAATTCAGTGAAATTCAGTGAAATTCAGTGACACTGCAAGAAAGACCAGGCCTGAGACAAGTACAAAACATGGGAGCTGTCAGTGTAGCCCCATCCATAGAACCCTAGCTAAGTGCAGAACTTGACAGGACAAAAACTGCAGAGGTAAGAGGAACAGCATTCATCTCTGCCACCTGTAAAACTGCTAGAAATACTCACATTCAACAGGTTTTTGTTGGGGTTTTTTTTTTTGGATGGGCTTTATCTAGGACAAAAAGAAACCAGAACACAGATTTTTTTTCCTTCCTCATTTGTAAATTTACATGCTCGATCTTTTCTTAGGCCACGCATCCCTTCATGTGCTGTGTCAGTTCCCATCAGCCCACAACAACTGTGTGTGTGCCTGTTTGGGTACCGTGTCAGCCGAGGCACAGCAGGCTCAGTGCGCTGCCTTGTCCTTCCAGTCTCTGTCTTGCCCGGGCACGGTGGAGGACGTGCAGAAATGGGCAATGCCAAGCCAGGGCAGGAAAACCAGCTTCCTTTCCCTCCTGCTGTTCTAAAGAGATGGTGGAGCTACAGAGTGTACACACTAGAGGGCACAGCGAGCCTTGCTCCCAGCTCTATGTAAACTTAATGAGAACATTTAGTATTGTCCATTACAGAGGGCACAGCGAGCCTTGCTCCCAGCTCTGACTATGTAAACTTTTAATGAGAACATTTAGTATTGTCCATTATGGATTTAAAATCTGACCCAAGCCTGTAGGGTTAACAGCTGCTGGCAATTACTGTGAGCAGGGCTGGTGTAACCTAGACTAGAAAGACTTACAAATGACAGTTTGGAATGATATGAAAAAAAAATCAATCAATATATGAGTGCAGAGCATCTGGCTGCTCTCCCACACAGATGCAGCCTGCTTGGAGAAGGCAAGCTTCTGCCTGCTGCCCATCACTGCCCAGTCACTCTGATTTCTATCCCAGCTATTGCAATCCTTCTCCCCTCCATCCTTCTTGCCCCAGTGCCTTTCTTATGCCAAGGGTTGCTGCTGAAGAACACATTTTGCTCAATAGCAACAACTGTAATTAATATGGCTTTGCCAGGTCTGTGATGCCAGATATGTGGGATTTGCTGCTGATCATGCTGACAGTTCATATTCTGCACTTTCTAGATTTTTAATGTTCAGCATCTTGTGACTTGCTAGGACTGAGCGTTCTTCAAGCTGACACTTGTACGCTCCCAACACAGTAGTTTTTACTGAGGGATACACAGAGATATATATGGCTCAGGAGCAAAAGTCACCGCCTCATGGAAAATGACTTCGGAAGGACAAAAAACTTCTCTCAGGTGCAGAAGCTGCTGTTCAACTGCCAAACACCAAAATTGCCATTTTCTGAGATCTCCATGGTAACAAACGGACTGTAATTACAAAGATGTTTCCTGGACCCTTTTCTGCTGTCACTCCCTAATCCAGTCCCTGTATCTGCTTATTGACAACAGCAGAGAGACTTTTTGATCAAGAAGGCTGGAAAGAAGTCCTCCTATTTCTTTTTGTTGCTTCCAGCTAGCAAAGATAAAGCTCTGAGGCTCAGGGGTGAGACCACTTTCAGGAATTTGGGTTTGCTTTTGTCTGAGAAACAGACTTCACATTTCACTGGCATGACTCACAGCTAAACCGCTACCTCAATCAGAACTTCCCTTTTAAGGCGTGTTACAGGAAGAACTCACATCACTCACTAAACAAAGCTGAGCTTGCCTCTGGCCCCACGGCTGAGCCAGCCAGGAGTTTAAAAACACCTTCTTCCATCTTCTGTTCAGGAGAGTTCATTCCAGGCTTTGTCCTTTCTCAGCCTGGGACTAGTAGTTGCTGATACTCGGAACGCTATTTCTAGATGGAAAAAAAATGACGACACTTAAAAAAAATTCCACAAAGCTACCATCGTTTTTACTTGCCTGCTATATACACACATATGTTATCTTTCACACAGGAATGAGACGCTTAAAGAGTAGCTTAAAGAAAATTCAAAGGGACCAGGTTACTTCTCATCTTGCACTGTGAGGTTTCCTACCACCCAGATCCAGGTATGCTCAACTGGAAGATGATTTCCAGGGAGGGTATCAAAGCAATAGATTCAGAAACATCCTAGATGGTGTAGGAGCTCGTTTTTCTTTTCCTAGTGGGCTATAGGCAGCATATATTCTGTATTCAGGCATGTTTCTGTTACCTACAGACATCATGCACCAATAGCCATCAAGTTAGCAATAGCATCATGTGTCAGAACTAACTAAGCTTTACTAAGCCCGGTTCCTTTCGAAAAAGCAGGATGGAAAGCAAAGCCTTAATCAGCTTCTATTCATAAGTGCTTCCATTGTAAAATACAAAGCCTTGGCACGGCTTCCAATTTGGCATCTACTGCACAGCCAAGAACAAAAAAGACACTTAGTTTATAGTCACAAAATGGAAAACATTTAATAGCTAGAAACTCTGACACAGAAAGCTTCACCACAGCATGGCAAAAGAAATGAACGAGTCAGATCAAGCCAGAGAGCTTGCTTCAGTGAAGTTTTGAGAAGACTACCTAGCTGCAGCTTTTTGTGCAGCAGAAGTAAAAAAGTACAAGGTAGAAAGGAAGCAAATGGAGAGAGCTTGCTTCAGTGAAGTTTTGAGAAGACTACCTAGCTGCAGCTTTTTGTGCAGAAGTAAAAAAGTACAAAGGTGGAAAGGAAGCAAATATCTGTGGCCTGTGTGAAATTTTATCTCTTAGCTCTTCTTGCCTCCGTTCATTTCCTGATTCCTAGTTTTGTCACTTTGATCTGTGTTTGCTAGTGAAGAGGAGAGAAGGTTTGAAAACTAACTAGTCTCCAAGTTCGTTGGCAGCAGGCAGCCTGCCCAGGAGCAGACAAGAGATGAAGAGGGAATCCTGAGAAGAGGCATGCTGCTGTGGCACTGAGGAGGGCAAACTCTGGGCCTAATGGCAGGAACCTCTCATCTATATGACTGCCTACAGCTCAGGAACAGTTATTGCACCTGCACAAAGGAGCCCTGAGTCACTCTCAGCCCCCATATGCCAAGGGATGAACGGGCACATTCCAAAGAATTAAAAGCCATGGGCAAAATGCATCAGAAAATTGGCTGATCTGAGCAGATGCAGCCAGGACAGTGATGACTATAAGGGGCAGTGGAGGAAATACCTCACACAAACACACATATTTTTATAAGCTGTGAAGAGAAACTAACACTTCTGCTTTTAGCAGTAAGGCAAGAGAGAGAACGCATAGTAACAAGTTTATTTCCTTTCTGGCTAAAAAATAGAGAGTGAAGAGGTGGGGAAACCCCATACTTCAGCTGTATTTTCATTATGCAAAGAAAAAATTTGCAAAGCAGTAAAGCAGCAGCTTTTCTATATACTTGATTTTTTGATTCATCCCATGGGTAAAATCATTATTTCCTGGAAGGAAAATGTCTGATGAGGACATTCCCTGTGAGAATTCAACAGGAGAGAGTCCCATTTTCTAGCAGACTCTGCTTTGCAATTACAAGGGGAATTAAAGTTACCTGGCAATCTCAGAGCAATGTAAGGCTGCCAATA